AGAGACAGAGGGAAAGTGAGCAATCCCCCTCTCTCCCTGAGAGGATAGCCACGCTGCAATCCCTTCTCCTCCATTCTTTCCTGGGATCTTAGGCACGATCGCACATGTACCCAGCATGAGTTTTAAGCCACTGGGTCTGGGACTCGAACTGCAATCAGCCATATGGGAGTCCAGCAATGTAACCTCTACGCCATCTGCTGACCCCCGGCATTCTTATTTGATATTCATATACATCTCTAGGTGTTGTTTCATTTTTGTCCTGGTGACAGGGTAGAACTGGAAAGAAGGGACTAGGCAGATTCCCCCCTCCCTTCCACAGGTTTTGAGTGCCGCCCGTGTGCCTGATACTGTGAGCTCTACACCATGTTTGGCAGAAGGCAGAAAGCCATTAGTAAGATGCAGCTCAGTTGGGGAGACAGAGGCTCAGCCCCCCCTCTTTCATGCCCCCCAATGTGTGAGTGCCTTGGTCCAGGTATGAAGGGGGCTCCTTCTCCCCAGGCTGTCAGGGAAAGCCTCACTGAAGAGTGGCTTTAAAAGGTTAGGGGGAAGAGAAGTTTTGTTATTTTAAAGGGGAAAACATACTTGATTTTACAATGAATTAGAAAAAAGGGGCAAAATTTTATCTTTAGAGGTGAAGGCAAGGGAATGGAGGACAAGGTGGAAGGAAACAAGCACTGCAGGCAGCAGGCTTTGGCCCTGGAGCAGATCCACTCCCCACGCAAGGAAGGGCTACATCCCGTCACCCATCACCCAGGCAGGTGGTCCACTCCCACCCGCCCTCAGGCCCAGCCATCTGCAAGCTCCTGGGAGGCTGGGACCAATTATGCTGTTTGGCTTACTCCAAGCTCAGTGCTGCCCTATAGTAACAGCTTAACAAGTGTTTGTTGAATGAATGAATGGTAATGACCAAGATCCCAGGGGGAGCAGTCAGAGGAGAATGTTGGAGGAAAAGCTGGGTAGCACTTCTTTTTTTTTTTTTTGTAGTCAGTTATTTTTATTTCCTAAATCTGCCCTGTCTTGGTGGGGCTGTGGATAGTATTTATTCCAAATTATGTTTATAAGGCATTGCATATGATTTCTGCTTTTCCACAGTAGGTCTTTAGGCATTCCTTAGTACTTACTAAGCTAAGAAACAATGAAAGGAATCTAGAATGCCAAGCCCGGCCTGAGATCACCACATTTCCTGTCAGTTAAAGTAGATTGCATCTCTACGCGAGAGATTAGAACAGACATCCCAAGGTGTCCAGGGGCAGGAGTCAGGTTTTGAGGGGAAAGCACTCCAAAGTACTGAAGATGTGGTGTTGCCTGTGGGGAGAACGTGGCAGGGCCAGGCTGCTACCATGCTCAGCCCAGGGGTCTGGCCCAGGGCCGGCCATGTGCCCTCTGGCCAAGGTTCTTCCTAGCTTCCCCTGGAAGCTAGGTGGCATTGCCTTTCTGTGCAGTATTGGCATGGCAAGTCAGGCTTTAACTTTACAAAGTGACGACTTCTGATGGAATGACAGCTTTTCCTCCTCTCCAAAGAAAGCTGGCTTGTCTATCCGTTACTTTTTTTTTTTTTTGGCAAGTAGTAAACACCTTCCCAGGGCTCCTGCCTTCGCTCATGCTGGCTTCCTGGGCTGTCGCTATCTAGTAACTGCCCATTTCTGTGTTTTAGGGGCGAGTTTGGTTTGCGCGAGTACTCAGAAGTTAAGACTGTGACAGTGAAGATCCCCCAGAAGAACTCGTAAGAAGGCAAGGAAGGAAGGTGAAGACCACCCTGCACGACTCAACTCTCCCTCTCTGCTTTCTCTGTAGGGCTCCGCTCTCAGGAATACAAAGTTGAGCCATGGTCCTTATTTAAGATTGAAATGATAACATATAGGCCAGGCAGGTGCTGCACCACTAAAGCAAACCAGCTAGGCAGTTTCTTGGCACTCTGTAAAGGATCACCCTAATGATACCAAATATCGGGGCACAGAAGGGTAAAGGAAAGGAGGCTTTACTGGGCACATTTAGTATCTCTTTCTAGTGCAAGGGATGGAAGAAGGGAGCTGTGTTATTTGATGCCGTTTGTCCCAAAGATCCTTCCTCTTGAGGAAAGGTGGCCTTTCCACTATCTTCATTTTCCTCCTTCCAGACTGTCTCTCTGCTCACCCACCCCTCTTTCTCTTCCAAGGAGATCTCAGCTGAGCTCATTTGGAGCAGATGTTTGGGCCGGGAATAATTTTCCAAGGTTTTGCAGCCAAATTACCATTCCATGTTATCCATTTCTTCAAAGCAAAACATGAAATGGTTTTAGTTAGAGCCAGACCAGACTGAAAATGCCAGGAGCTGGTACACTGCAGATGTACTAAGAAGAACTTGAGATATTCCTGACCCAATCCAGTTTTTAAAATATCTGTAAATAACGTGCGTGAAAGAAGACGAGGACGATGAAGATGGGAGTTCATCACGTGTAGTTCACATGATGAGCTTGTTGAATGACTTTGAGGTGTGTGTGTGTCGGTGTGTGTGTATCTGTGTGTGTGTTTGTGTGTATCTGTGTGTGTGTGCGCACGTGTATCTGTGTGTGTGTACCTGTGTGTGTGAGAGAGAGAGAGAAAGAGAGGGAGAAATTCCTTGGTTTTTCTAGAATAAGACAGGATATGTTGTTTTTCATAGATAAGATCTTTTCCAAAGCTTATCTTAAAACCAACCCAAAAAACAATCCAAGGAAACTCAAGAGTTTGGCAATGCTGAATGCCTTGCCGGAATAATCCCATTTCCAATCCTGGGTGGCAGTGTTTATTAAATGAATTTCTGTATTTGGAATCTGTACCTTCTGCCCTCCAGCCCTCACGGCACCAATACTTGCCAGTCCTGGTACTGCAGGTGTTTCTTGGGCCTGTCCTGCCTTAATAATGTGCCCCGAATCCATTGGCAGTGACCTTGGAAAGTCTGGCCAAGTCTGGAGATTCCCCTCCCCGCTTGCAGAGCTTTTCCCGGCCATAGCTGCTGTGCTCCACTAGAGCTCACCTGTCTTACCCAGTGGCTTGTCCACACACCATCGGGGGGTGGGGCATGAAGCAGGTCTGTCTCCTTTTCCTTCCAACCACACACTCCTCTTCTGCTTTCCAGTAAATCCCCTAGGTTGATGTGGGCAGTGTTAGCTTCCTTTCCTTCTCTCTTTCCAGCTGCCAAATCTGCTCCAGTCTTTGACCTAGATGAAGATCATTTATTTAAAAGTGCCAAACATAACCAAGAGTACGTGGAATATGGGCAACATATATATAGCCTTGTGTATTTAATGGATTTCTGCTTTCTAACCATACCAGTTTTCTATTTATAACCCTTGTCTTTCCTGATGTTTAAAGAAATCTCTACTAGCTGTTATTTACGATCGACAGTGCGTTCAGCAGCCTTGACAGACGCCATGTTTCTGGGTTCTTCCACATGAACGCCACACTCTTCTGGAGCGTGTGTCCCCGAACACATCCACTAACCAAACAGTTACCTTTGAACTGCAACACAGAATGTGAACATGAAGATTTATTTCTTTTAATTTACCTAAAAAGAAACCTCTGTGCTAGCAATAAAGCATTTATATTGTGTACTCCTTGGGATTATTTGGTTGTGTTTGAAAGTCTTTGTGTCACATTAGGTATGTTTGGGTTCTTCCCTCAGCCACAATGGTGTTCAGCTGTTTTGTTCTCTTGGGGTACTGAGCAGGGGTCTGGAAGGGTATTTATCCAGAATGCATTAACATAAACAACACCTTATCCTCTGACACTTTTTAAAAAATCTATATGTGTACATACTTTTGTGTGGCAAATAAGCATGACCATGTATGAAATGTATGAAGTGAGTCTCACTCAGAATGGCCTCCATGAAATGGAGAGGAGCTTGTACGGCCCGTTCTCACAGCAAGAGCTCACATTGCTGATAGAGCTTAACAGTAGCTGTATTTTTATTTACTGAAGTGAAATGAAGTCAAAGGCCGAGAACCTGATGAAACCTTTTTGCAGCTGTAAAAAGAAAGCTGTAAATGGTGACTGCACTACCAGCTTTGTTTGCTCTCTGTGGTCTCAGAGTTGAGCTTTGGGGAGTGGTTCCCATCCTTTAGAACTGCACGTCTTCCCCACCTCCCTTCCAGTTCTTGGACACTCCACCCAAAATCTGGTCAAGTGAGGCAAACAATAAACCTGAGGACTTAGCTCCAGACTAAGTCCAGCCTGGAGAAAGAGATGTGTGGCTCTGGATGAGGGTCCATTGTTCTGTCTACTGGCATCTTGTCCTTCAGATGAAAGTGGGGTAGGAGAGAATGCAGCCCCAGGTATGGAGTCAAACTCAGCACTGTAAGATGTGAGGATCCCAGTGAATCCACCCCATGTTCAGTATAGGAAGCCATTAAGCCAGAAACGAGAAAGAGATGGAAGTAATCATCTCAGGATTCTTTGGGAAGTTGCTATTGTAGTGTGTATGGACCCAGGACTCTGCAATGAGACATTCATACAAAGCATTCCTGGCCAAAGGCATAACCTACCAAGGCCCAGCGGGGAAGCCACACATGGCATACCACGTGATAGTGCGGAGATGGGCAAGCAAGGGCGGGTGCTGCATGCAAGCAACTGTCAGACAGCCAGAGGTGCTCCATGGCCATGTGATAGCAGTCAGGGAGTCACTAGTGGCTTCTGAGCTGGAGAGCAATGGAAACAGTGGTTTGGGCATACTGGGTCTGGAGCAAAGTGGATAGAAGGAGAAACCGGGAATGGTTATGAGGTCAGTTTACCATAATTCTGGCTTGGGCCACAAAGATGGAAAGGAAGGAAACAAATCAATGGAAAAGTCACCAGAACTTGATGAATGAATGAAAAGAATGAAATGATAAATGAATATGTTCTCAAACCTGGGTGAGTAGGAAAGTTGGCAGTGCCACTGCCACAGAAACTGAAGCATGGAATAACGTTTTGGAGCAAGATCTTGACCTCAGGCTTTCGGCATGTGACTTGAAGAGGCCTGAGACTACAGTGCCAGAGAGAAGTCTTCAACAGGCCACTGGGAATGGGGATTGGAATGTGGCTTGGGCAGCTGGACCATAGCACGAATATAAAAGTGATGGCTTCAGGTACAAAGAGAATAAAAACAAGACCAGGGCCAGGGAATGAGCCCAGCAGAAGTGGAGTGTGCAGTCAAGGAGGAGGAAAGTCCTCAAAGTTAACAGCAGAGGGAGGAGGTGCTGGAACACAGGCAGCAGAGTGGAGAGAACTGAGTGGTGGGAGGAGCTCTCGCATCAGGCACTTTTGGATGGATCCTTGTCTTTCTAAAGTAGAGACTGATGGTGTCTCAGCTGAGGTCCTGGAGAGGCAGCCACACTATGCTGTGGATGATGAGGCCTTTCCCCGAGCTCTGCTGTGCTCATGGACAGCAGGATCTTTGTGTAGATGCATCTGTCAGCTGGAATGGACAGAGCACCTGCTCCCTGCTCTGCTCCCCATGCTGTCATTCACCTCAGACCCCACAGAGAGAGGGCAGGAGCTCACAGCTGATGAAAACCACTCAGAACAAATTAGAACCTCAATGAGCTGGCTGAGGTGGGGGAGGAAGACACTGACCTTGGAGTAGTTGTTAAAGAGTGAGTCAAGAGGTGTACATCATGCTGGGTAAAGACTCTACAATCTAAATGATCTATAGCGATTAAATATATAAATAATAATTAAAATTAATAAATAAGAGTGAGTCAGATTTGGAAAGGTATATAGAGTTGAGCTTTTGCTGAGCGATCCCCACCCTTCAGATCTGCATGTCTTCCTCACCACCTTTCAGCTCTAGCAGGATCACAATGGGGGTATTTCCATGCAGAATTTGTTGTTTGTTGGCAATGCTCTTGGCAGAGGGAGGGTGCAGGTACGGCCAGGACAGAAATGCCCTTTGCCAGTTACATGTATTTCTATAGTCATGTATTCGCTTTTTAATTTTTTTCTTTTTTGGTTGGCTAGTATTTCAAGAATATTGAAGTCAGTCACAAGAATGCTTAAAATGTAATAGCAATAATAAACAAAATCAAATTAAAAATGGTAAGAAATAGACAAGAATTTAGTGAAATCAGAATGAGGCTAGAAAATACAACAGTCTTATCACCCTTCTTATGGGTCCCTACAATCTGATAAAAAAAAAAAAAGAGTTTAGAAAGGGAGAGGAAGAAAGAAGGGAGGCTAGTTTCTTAGAATCAATAGGTCTACAGTGTTAGGGTTTTTTTGTTTTTGTTTGTTTGTTTGTTTTGTTTTGTTTTGTTTTGTTTTGTTTTGTTTTGTTTTAATCAGATAGGTCTGCTGTTATACCAGGCACTGGTACAGGTGCTGGGAAGAATACCAAGTGAGCCAGACATGATTACTACCCTTGTAAATTTCATCATCTGGGGTAACTCACGGATGAGAGACAGGTTTCCTTTTCTAACTCTCCCTAACTTCTTTCCAGGAACATTTACCCAGTCTGTGGAAGGACAGCATACCTCTTCCAGGCCTGTTTTGTGGGGAAGTCAGGGGGACAACTTTGCCCAAGGTGGAGAGTAACAGCATGTTGCATCAGAGGGTCAAGAATGTGACCAGAAGTCCTCACTTGGAGGTCTTTATCTACAGTTTACAAGGACTGTGACTTTGTCACCTAACTTCTAGGGGCCTCCACTTCCTCTCCATTGGATAAAGACGATGGTGTTTGTCCTGCGCACCACTCTGCAGAGGTGTGTGCAGACTTAGCAACATCATGGGAGATAGGTTGCTTCCGTTAATCAATCTGTGCATGCACAGTTCTCAACTACCACAAAAAGTAAAAGCGAATGCTCTCCAATGCTTTGCTAATCTATGGGAATTCATTATTGCTCAACCAGGTGTGAGGATTTTGTGTGGACCCCAACCCTCTAGAATAGTTTTGTACAGGTTTCTAGGAGAGCTCTTTGGAGACTAGGCTTCATCTGAGTATCTCAGGCCCACTGTGTCCCTTACATTCAACAATTCAGACACTCCACTCTGCAGAGATCACAGACATGCAGGACCTGGCCAGGCTGTCCGTGCCACTGTGACTATCTTACATAACTGCTCATCAGGGTAGCCCGGCTGGGAATGAGAGCATGGGAAAGTCCACGCTGGAACGGCATGAAGCCCTCTTCCTAAACATGCACGTTGTCTAATTCTCACTTGGTTATTGGCCAGATTACAAGGAAGACCCGCTTGCCATTCAGCCTTTGATGTGAAACTGCTCGGGTAATGTTTCTTTTGGCCATTTATCTGTGTAGCGTGGGGGAACCTGAAACCAGCACGCCGGCCCCACTCCTGCAGGAGCACGAGCACCTCTCTGTGGCTTCAAGGTCCTTTGGCCTCGCTTTTTCTGTTTCTCAAGAGCAACCCTCCTCCTCCTCCTTGTGAAACAGATGTTACTTATCAAGGGGGCTCGAGTTACCTCGTTCATTTTACTGCGTGGTTCCCCCAGTCTGTTATCAGAAGTGTGCATCTGGTGTCATATTTAAATTTGGGGTAGGATAAAAAGTACATCAACTGGACTCTTGAGTTAGAAAGAATAGAGACCCCTCTAGTCCCTACCCCAACTGTAGAAAAACAGTGATTCTAGGATTCTGGAAAGAATCGGCACTCTCTTATTCCACTCAGATGAATCCAATTTATGGATGACTGATAATGAATAATGAATGGAGTGCCTCTTCTCAGTTCCTCAGAGAGTGAAAACTTTCAAGACTTCTGGGTGGGGTTTGTTGGTATCGTAGAGTGAAAACTTTCAAGACTTCTGGGTGGGGGTAGCTGAGCAGCAATGAACAAGAGTGTTCTCTGATTTGCCAGAGCTTGGCAAACCCAAGGGAAAGGTCGGTTGGTTAAACAACTGAGGCCCTGGTCTCTTATTCCCAAGTTAGGTTCATTCACAAACACATGATTTGTGTAAAATTGAAATCCAGATGCCACTTGTTAATACAATTAGCTCATGCTCCCAGGTGGCCCTGGGGGTGGGGAGTGATGCCCACACTCACTCACAGAGCCTATACCAATGTCCACGCCCAGCCCCAGTCTATGTGTGCCAAGGAGAGGTGGAGACAGGGGCATGTCAGGGAAAGGCTGGGGGCTGAGTGTGTATGGACGTGTGTGTGTGGAAGGGTTGTCCACCCATCACATGTCTAGTCTCTGAAGTTCAGATCTGGCACACTAATTCCAGAAAGGGAAGCTTGGCACCAACATAGCGCTTCTCCAATGGACAAAGAGAACTTCAAAGTTCTTTGCAACTCACTAGCTGTTGCTCTTAGATAATTAGCCATCCAGACCTTCAATTTTCTCACCTGTGAAGTGGCGTGCTAAAATGACCTACCTTACACAGCTGACATGAAAGTGGAATAAGAACCTAAAGTACTAAGCAGCCCCTTTGCAAGAGCTCAAACTAATGGTAGCAATGACTATGAATGAATGAACAGATGAGCATTCAGGAGAACCATCATCCAAAGAGGCTGTAACTCTCACATTCCCTCGGGATGGGTCCTACATAGAAGCCAAGCAGGAGGACACCTGTATTAAGGTGGGTTTGGATGGTGAGATTAGAGCTGGTAATGGTGAATACTAGGAGGCT